CTTTTGTAGAGATTTTTCATTTATTCTTTACATATAAAATGTCGCCTAAAATCTCACCTAGGGCAGCAAATTGTCTAGAACCGGCCCTGGTACTAGGCCTCAAGGGCCTTTCTTGTGCTGACAGAACAATTGGCGGGGCGCACTTCGCACGCACAAAAAGATTCCACGCGATCTGCGCTCACATTATGCTGGGCCCATGTGCCTTAGCACCGCTGCTATGACTCCATCCTAGGGGAAACACTGAGCACATTTAAAGTGTTTTGAGTGTTTCCATTTATGCTACTGTATGCTACTTTCATATTAAAGTAATGAAGTCAGTTATGAAATATATGATCCTGAAATCTGCATAATGTAGTTATCTTACTTTTGGTAGTTTAACTTCATTTTGAGGTAAAGCACTTTTTTTGGAAGACTTTTAGTTGTTACAGATTATCTTAACACTTGTATCTGGCAAGCTTTACTGAAGTAAATCTCCTTCTAACACTGCCCATTCATAGATAAAGAAAAGTGTATTTTCGAGACTTCTCCTTTCTGCTTTGTGGATTTCAACATATGTGTGACCAGGAAAAGTGTTGCTCAGGCTCACTGGCTCAGTCTTTATAATACAGCGCTTCATTCTCTGGCAATGTCTATAGCAGTGCCTTTAGTTCTGGCCATTTGTCAAATCTGTCTTTACAGTCTGAGCCCGGATCTAGTGTCTGAGGTCATTCCTGCTCTGTAATAAAGCCCCACAGTCATATGAAACTAAAAGGTACAGAACAAAAGACCGAAGACAGAGCTGGAATTATGCTTCACGTGGGCAAATGATCAGGGTGGTCGCTCTGAGATGTTTGCGTGTTTCTTTCATACTCCTTTGCATACAACTTGGGCGACTTCTTCGTCTCCGTTTCAAACACGTCGCCATCAGGATAGACTGAAACAGCTTGACCTGTTGGTCTGCATGATAAATTGAAAGGTGTGTGCAACAACTCCACAGACAAAACACTGCCAACAATTCCAGAGAGGGATTGCTGTTTTAAACAACTACCGGACTGTCATATTCATTTAAAGGCGACAACTCTCCAAAACAATGCATGCATTAATCCTCTATTCTGGACTGAAGCTCAGACTGTACCTTTTTAGTTTCAGATGACAGCAGTAGAAGTTCAGAACTAACTGCATATTTCACATTTGAATTTCTGCACAAGATAAGATTTTTTTTTAGTTCACACTGTTTTGCATTTGGCTTCGTTAGGTTTTCTGTTAAGTCTCTTACCTCCTGCAGGAATACATCTAATATTCAACAGCAGTTACTTATTCTGAACTTGTGTCAGAATAAGTACTTTTATGAATGAAGGTGTCCATATAATCTGCATTTTAGAGCACGATGAACAAACAGAAATGTTGCAACGACTTACAAAATATTAAAGCACTTAATTTTGTTTTCAAATGTTTACTTCTTTGCACACATTTCATTTGCTATATGTGACATGGCAATTTGACAATTCTCAGGCATCTATCACAGTACAGATTACGTATGTTTCAGCTCTGCACACCACACCAAAGAATGTAGCTGCTATAAATCAGGTAGATGCCAAAAGTAAATCTAAAAGCATTCCCGCCCGGCATCAAACGGTATATCACCGAGCCACCGGTCTGTCAGTGGTGCGGAGAGTTTTGCTGACAAAGCGTTTTATGCTGACGCGGCAGGTCGAGAAGACGGAACAGTCCCTCAGCAGAGAGGTGTCAATGATCTCATGGCAGGTAGCAGCCACCTGACAGCAGTGACGGCTGTGGAGTAATCTGTGGTGCCCAGTTTGCTTTCTACTATTGTTTTGGGGAGGAGGAGGAGATAAGATGCACCTATCTTCTGTCATGATACAGTACATGTCATTTTGCTTTTTTTTCAAAGGCTGCTTTTATGAATGATATTGGTATCACGGTTAAGTTTAACTCATGTTAACTCAAATGCGAAATGGTTCATAGATCAAACAACCGCATGTCCCTTTTGGTTGATCCAGTGGTTTTTCATCACCCAGAGCAAAATCTCTAAATGTTAACAAATGTGTACCAACACGATGACAAATACAATAACTCCACTATAGATTTCAATCTTGGCTCTTAATCCAACTTTCCACAGAACAGATAAGATGAAAGGGTGGACATAAAGAACAGAGGAGGAGGGCAGGAAAGATACAATTAGAGGAGAAGCATGGAAACATTGAAAGTGGAAAAAGTTTGACACTGTGTGTTTACTGTTTTTCATCCCAAGACACTAACCACATGACTCAAAGTGTTGGGAGGGCAACAACATTGGCATCATTAAACTTAGAAGCAGGCATAATAAAACCTGCTGGGCGTTGTTTGTCTGTTTCTATGCACACACTCTTGTATCTACGGGCTGAGAACGAGCTGCTTCTTAGAAATGAAGAAAATACTGAATACTGTGTACAGCCTCAAAACAGAACAGATTAAAGATCTTGACCGTAGTTCTTTCAAAAAGTTAAATAAAATCTCCTTGGATTTCGTGTTAACATTTTCCAGCTGTGAGACGTTTCAAGCAACTGAAAAGTATAGAGTTATTTCCTTTTTCTCATTTAAAGCAACATGACCCTAAAATCAAATGTGGTGTCTTTAGTGGTTTCCCAATTGCAAGATACATACTAAATCAAAAGTGTGCCATGTGCTATAAAGCCCACAGTGCAATGCAGAAAGAAATAGAGGAGCTGCTCACAACTGGAACACATCTAAAATAATAGTAGAGGAAAGAAAATGTTTGTCTATTTATTAAATGAATGAAGGACATTTTTCTTTACAATTAATGAAAAGAATAACTAATATTTTCATCTCTATCGAAGAGATTCTGATGTGTTCCAATTCCAAGAACAACTAAGCAGCAACGATCCTTTAGACTTAACTGTTCCTTAAATGACTAAGATGTACTTAATGATAACCGATGTTCCCCCTGTGGGCCATGACTGCAGCCCTTAATGGGAAGGACAGCGTGCCGTGTGTGAGGCGGCTCTGTGAGCAACGGGTAATGTTCTTGAATCAAACAGGACGAGGCTCTGTGTGCCGCTTGATCCCATGCGGCTGTGTCTCTAATTAACTGAAGGGCTGATTTGTATTACACAGCTATGTGTGTCTAAATGCAGGCTGGGTAGTAGGACACACAGATATGAATATGCAAAGACATGCAAGCACACAAATAACACATAAATGGTGAATAAAATGGAGCTGTATTTGAGAGCAGTGTGACAAAGCTAAAAATGTAATCTTCTTTGTGAGACAGAAACTCAGCAGTTCTGCGACCTGGCTGAAAATCTGCTGCATGACTCCCTGTTTGCTCGCTTCCCTCCCTGCCAGTCTGCTCTCATTTCTCCTGTTTTTCCACTAGACTCTGTGACTGCAGACCGGCCTGTCTGCTGCCTGCAGCACAAACTCTGCAATACCCATGGATCATAGATGAACTAAACAGAGCACACTTGTTTAAATAAAGCCACAATCAACGCATAATTTTCAATTGGAAAATTGACATGCATATCCATCAAAATAAGATTTTTGAGTACCATAGATTTTTGATGAATGGCCTTTCATTATAAACACTGATCTAATCAACTTGATTTTAAGATGCAGACGTTGATAAATGGATAGAGAATGATCTGTACCCTGCCAGGCTGGATACAGATTCAATAAAGGGGAAATAATCTTATATAAAAGAACCTGACCTTTTTTTAAACCACGCTGATTAAATATGCTCCTCGTCCCACCTGAATCTCATGTCTGTTTCTGATTCAGAGTGCCTCGTTTTAGAGTTCAACTGGTCAAATATTACTGAGGACTTTTCTAAGAGTGATGAGGCAATGGAGAAGAAGTAGGGCGCACATGAAATAGATGCAGGTGTGCGGGGGAAGAGAAGAGAGGAGACAGTGAGGATGGAGAAGAAAAATGAGGAAGAGATAGAGACCTTGTAACCGCTGACAAGGGTGGAGTTGGGGGGATTAAAGACAGATGTCCTTCCTCCATCTACACATCTGGGAAGTTGCTAATGACTCCATTAATTACTGCACACATTCATCTAAATACTGCCTCAGTGAATTTGTACTGCTATGTTCAATTACCAGATTATACTTGTAAAATCTAAAGCATTCAATATTATAAATCTTATTAGAGGCCCTTAAGGCTTTTTGTTGACACTGCATTCAAGAGTTTTTGATATCACTTTATGGGAATATTGGATTTTACCGTCAGAATATTAATACATAGGATATCTGTGGAGCGACATGGGAACACCTGACGCAGTTTCAACTTTCTATCAAATTGTGTTTTTGATTTGACAAAACTTCCCTTCAGAGATTAAAGAACCAAACCAGAGTACTTGCTGAGCAAAATACGTCCTTTAATTTCCAAACGTCTCATGTATGTGTAAATTGACAGTCAGTCAAATGTTATGTCATTGAAATCAAGAAACACTCTGGTATTTTTTATTAAATTAGAAACTATTCAATAGAAAAACTATATTCCCACGATGCAATTTTTGGATTTCTCTGCAACTTTTCAATTGCATCTAACAGCCTTCATCTCCAGATAACATTTTGCTTGTACAACAAATTAATATTCCCCAATCTAAGGTTTAGAAAAAAGCTTGATTATGGTATTGGTACAGAAACTCGGCTTTTGTAGTGCCCGAAAAAGTGGCATTATGTCTGATAACAAGAATTATATGAATGACATTGCCATCCATGTAGCAGAATATCAACAGATTGATGAAAACATCCCTATCTGGGCTATTTGCTAGTGATTGAAGGCGGAAGACAGCAGTGTGTATTTGATGATCAGCAGAAGGCCAGAGGCTTAGCTAAACATATAGGTGAGGTTTAAAGGCTCATGGTCGTGATGCGAATACAACAGGTTAATTATTCATATGTGGCTCAAAGTATGAACATCAATATAACAATAACACCATATGGACTCATTTAAAGATGTAATCCAGACACTTACCCAGAAGTTGTTCTTAAATAAGGCCATCTTCACTCCGAGATTCACGGCGATCTGTGAAGGAGGTAGAGGGAAGAAGTGTTAGAGAAACTGACATTCATAGTTTTCTTATGTGATCTGCTCGACATGCATTTTCTCTGCATCACAGTCTTAAGGGATTGGTGAAATAACCTTGAGAGATGTCTTTCGGATTCCTTATGACAATCTGTAAAAAGTTGATCTTCAGCCTTTTCTCTGCCCTCTGACTATAAACGGCAGCATTATAATCCTTCGGAATTACACATAAAAAAGCTGACTTTACAAAACCTCCCAGGACACATTTGATACAGGAAGGGAAGTCCTAAGGGAGGGCAGAGGAGAGCCTAACAAATGACTTCAAAGGATACACTCAGAGGATGGAGGGAGCGGAGAAAGGAAGCAGGGAGGAGGGAGGAGGAGGAGTGATGGGGGCGGGTGGTGAGGGAATACAGGGGAGGAGAGATACATCGATGCAGGGATTGTGCGGAGGAAGCCTCCGAGGAGATGATTACCTCTTGTAAAACCGGAGGCTGTAGCACTCTGCTCTGATTGGCCGAGTCACCTTAAGACTCACATGCCTTACAGATTTTGTGAATTAAGTTGTCTTTTCTATTCTATTTCACTCACTCACAAAAAAGTCAGCAGATCAAAGGCATTATTCTAGAAACTAGAAAAACTCTAAGCGCACCAAAACAGGTATTTTTTGAAGTTTGAATTGTCAAGGCTGCAGCGTTTTTATGACTTTTTAATTTGATGATGTTGAGGAGGGATTATATCAGCAGCTGAACACACCTTCAGACCACATGCACACACACACACATGCACAGGAATGTGGTCATGCCCTTTCACAGAGAATCTATAATGCAAGTGTTTGCCCAGGGCTGCCCTCATACAGGCTCTCTGTTATACTGCTGACCCTGTGTATGTTGTTCTGTGTGCTGACAACAGCCCTTTCAACCTCTGCCCAGACCTGGTGACCTGGCAGCAGCAACACGCAGAAACACACACAGCACGACCAACTGCAGAAACACACACACACACACAGCACGACCAACTGCAGAAACACACACACACACACAGCACGACCAACTGCAGAAACACACACACACACGACCAACTGCAGAAACACACACACACACACACACACGACCAACTGCAGAAACACACACACAGCACGACCAACTACACACACACACACACACGACCACACACACACGACCACACGACCACACACACAC